ATATATATACACACACACACACATACATATAATAATACTATGAACCGGACGAATTAACTTAATCTCTTCTAATTCACCCGGTTTATATAAATTAAATGTTATAAAGTTATTATTTAATGAAATAACTTTAGTTATTAAGAACATATTTATAAAAATTTGTAAGAGCAAAAGACACGCGGATTTTGCGTCGTTCATTGCGAGTATCGCGTAACGGCCGGTGTAAAGCGGCACGGTAGCTATTAGGAACAGGATGTAACCGTTCAAGAGCGAGTGTTTAGCCGAGCCCTCATAAATCACGCAAGGGCGACAAGCAATTATAATAACTGTACCTGAGTATAAACGCGTAAATAAAATACCAAGCCCTTCGGCCAAGTAATGAGGCATACGAAGCTGGATGCGAACCAGTTTCAAGACTCGTTATCGGGACAGAATAAACAGCGAGGGAACATTTTCTCGAGGAAGTCTGTCTCGATTATCAGTGTTTCAGGTGCCCTAACGCACGCCGCAATAATAACGGCATCAGCAAACCCAAATAAAATTTATTATCATAATAAATCAATTTTTTTTCGATCGTATCTAAACAGCAGTGTACAAGGTAACGTGTGTATTTTTCACTACTTTCTATTACTCTTTTAACTGCTTACAACATTACTTTGATGTTGCGGTACAATATATTTATATAACGCTGTTTATCTATAGAAAATCGAATGCCTATTTAAATAGATGTCTAGCTATTAAGCAAGACACTTTAAACGGAGAGAGTCCAATCGCCCTGCCCACGTAGTCATCAGCACAAAAATATTCCAAGAGAAACCTCCAAAGTCTCAAGGTCACGGGGACCTCATCAACCGTGGAATTCAAGCTGAGTTTTAGATCTCAGCGAAACGAACTCGGTGGATTGCGGGAAAGAGGCAAAAGAGAACACGCGTGCGGATGAGAGAGAGAGAGAGAGAGAGAGAGAGAGAGAGAGAGAGAGAGAGAGAGAAAAGTACATCGTACCACTCGCCATAACCTTTTATCAGTTATCTAATTAACCGTTGCGTTTAATTAGCGATCCGAGGAGAGAGCCGCGAGATAGCTCTAGCAAGACCAACATGGTATGGATATCTGTATATAGCTATACGTAATTTTAATCGGCACCCATGTTAGATAAGAAAGGTCGACGGATGAACTGGCATCTACGTGCACTTTGCAATTAGTTGTATTTTTATTTATTTAGCTATTTGCCGCTTATTGAGCTGCACATGAAGAAAGTCTAGCATGAAGCAGTTCAATTGACCGATAAGAATTTTAAGGATCTCTATAAGCATAACGCGAATGGAAGAAAAAGTAGAAAACGTTACATAGATGGTCCGTGTTGTAATACTAGTGTACAAGTAATTGTACAAATTTTATTAGATTAAAAAATGATTTTAATACTCATCAAGTGTTGCAAGATATTTTTTTTTATTCAAGCATCTTAAAACAAGCCTAATTGAAAGAAACATTTTTTTTCTATCTTTTTTAAATACCGGTATATAAAAAGACGTTATCGTTATCCTTTTTTATTAAAAACTAATCTTATAATGAAAATTTTTATTAACCAAATCTTATTTAAAAATAAATCATATTTTTTAAATAATCGTATAATATGTAAACAAAAAAATTCATATTTTTAAAATAATTATATAACGTATAAAACATTCGTCATAAACAGAGGATGACAGGTGAAATAAATCACGGCGGAAAAAATTAACAGATCTTTGGCTCTTACAAGAGAAACGATATTTTTCTAATTTAGTGGTACTTACCTTTGTTGAATCTTCAATAAAAGCTCCGATGGTTATTACATGCAGAGTGATCTCGCGAGTATTTTCAAGTTCTTCTGGTGTCGCATATAAACCTTCGCTAAGGAAGTACGGTTCAGGGCAAGTTAATCTGCAAAAAACATCACAATTTAACATATCCGTTCAGTTGATTAAATTGGACAAAAAGCATCATAATTAGTTACAGTTTAGTAAAACATATATTCATTTTTTAGTATAAAATACATAAAATTTATCTCTTATTTTAATACGAAAAATATATTTATTTTCATGAAAAAGAGTTTAAATTATATAATAAATATTATTAAAAAAAATAAATGTAATTTCGTACATATTTTAATTGTTTTATAATGGTTTTCAGAGAGAAAATAACATTGGGGTCCATGATCCCGACGTTCGGATCAATATCAGTTATCGTAACTGTTATCGTAATATCGAGATTTAATCGCAACGAGATATAATCGTACGTGTGCTTAGTCTATCGTAAACTGCATTATCTCAATTTAATTATATTGCTACGTGGTACGTGAAGAAATTCTTGAAAATCTCCGATGACGAATACCGAGCGAGAGAAATGAAAAAAAATAAAATAAAATAAAAGCAAGGTATCACGTAGTATTTGCATTCAGAAGCTCAATCGCTTTGAGATAATGGAAAAAAAATTAATATTAAATATAATACTATTAT